TGTGGTAAACCCGAGTTTACCGCTTACGATGAATATTGGCATTTATGATTTATTTTTAGTCGGCAGACATTTTCGCATCTCTTATTGTTTAGTTTAATTTTTATTAGAATTTTTGGATTGCTCAATTTTCCGGTTTTTTTTACAAATTCTAGCTTAAGTCAATAAAAAAATTATATATCATCTAAGTATTCAGCAATAGTGTATTCAGTATTCAGCCCTTTTTAACATCCCACTGCTAGTCACAATTTTTTGTATTTTGAATTTAGTGTATTCAGTAAGCATAAAATTATAATAGTATATAAAATGTCTCAAGTACGTTTTGTTTTTTATACCGGGTTTGATTCTAGGACGGCTAAGATGATAAAACTTTTCTATTTTTTTTTCAGCTACCTTTTTTAACAATATATAAAATCTTGTTTGTTTTTGTTATTACTTTAATTAAACTAAGGTCTTATCTTTTTACTACATACTATCAAATTGTAGGTACTTCTTGATAAAATTCCAAAGCCACACTATAGAAGAAAAATAAAAATTTTACTCTCTACCCTCATTAAAAGTGGTTTACGAATCTTACAACACGCATGAGAATTCAGGCGGTCCCAAATTAACTTTTTAGTATTAGCCGCGATTTCCCAAAATGGCGTTTTCGGGCGAATCTAATTAAAGAATCCACTTAGGTATTACAATGTTAAAGCTAGATTTAAGCGCAGATTGCTTAATTAAACAAAGAAATCCAACTTTGTATATAAAGTATACTATGATGATAAAATTTATTTCATTTTAGTAGATTTATTTTAGTAGACGTAGTTTATTTTAATAGTCATGTCAACAATTATTTACGTACAATAATTTATACGTTGAAATATACGTACGCAAAATATTATATGGCCCACAGGCCACAAGACAACAATTCAAAACTCGTATGATTTTTTTTAGTGTTTGTGTATAAAAACTACAATAACACTTGATGATAATTAATATTTATGGATTAGTAATTCATATCAAATAATTAAAATATAATCAAGCAAGTTTATTTTAACATTGAAAATGTTTTTTTTGTCGCTTCAGTAAAGGCCCGATTTTTAGCGAAAGTGCGAAGTTAATTGGGATGTTAAAAGATGCGTCTAAATGAGAGCTACAGAATGCAAAAAAATTTTTAAAACACTCAAAGGTTTTTTTTAAATCGAAAAAATGTGAAAAATGCGGTCACTTTTCACTCGGGTACGGTCAGAAAAAAAATCATATCTCGAAATGAAATAAGATATCGAAAAAAATAAAAAAAACTCTAGACGTATGACTTCGGGTTACATTTCAAAAAAATATTGGAGATGCATATCACCGATGGTTTATTCAGAAGTTGTACCTTTGTGACGCTGAGTTCCCTCTCGCGAATAAATGTTTTGGAGCATGATTTTGTTTTTGAACCGAAGTGATTCTTTGTGAATAAATAAATATGCATTTAAACTAATAACTAACTAATATTTATACATATAATAAAACAGTAACTAAGCGAAATTTATATGTCAAATATTTTTTCAAAACAATGAATGTAACGTATTGTGTCCCACAGACCCCAAAACAATGATTATGAAATTTTTTGTCTATTTGTCTGTTTTCTGAATATCTGTTTGTCTGTTTGGTTGTGCGCGTTTCGCGAAAAAAGTACTACGATTTTTTCCGGGATGAAAAGTAGCTTATTTGTTATTCTGATGTATGAACTAATACAGTTTCATTAAAATCCAATCAGTAGTTTTTGTGTACTAAGCTGTATAAATTACTATATTTTTTTAACTATCCCACGGAAACTCTTAAATTTTCCGGGATGAAAAGTATCTAAAATGTTGACCGGGGATATAACCACCATGTAAAATTTCATTAAAATCGGTCCAACAGTTTCGGAGATAAGCCCGTACAAACAGACAAACAGATTCGGTTTTTAGCATTTTTTTTCTATGTACAGACATTCGACCTCTACAGTTTTATTATATTATGTACAATTAATATCTTTATGCATCCAAATACTTTTTTGTAATCTGAACGCGAGCCAAATCGGTTGTTCTACTAGTAATTAATATGTTACTTTAATTCAGTTCACTTGGCAGATTCATTTTCAATGTACTCTAAGGTCGTGGCAGACACGAGATCTGTGAATTTTTTATATTATTATTAGATACTTATTTAATACTAGCATTGCCCGCGGCTCCGCCCGCGTTCAGATGACCAAAAACGAAATTCTTAGGTTTTACATATTAATATACTCTTACATTGCAGTTTTTGTATTTTTTCTCAGAAATGAGACATTTTCCCGCTGTATAAAGTATCCTATATGTTGACCCGGATAACCAGCTATCACCATACTAAATTTCATCAAAATCCCTGCTGTGGTTTTTCTGTGATGCGGAACAGGCAGACAGACAGACAGACAAAAATTCTAAAAACTATAGATTCGGCCTCTGTATCGATAATAATGTTTATTTCAATAAGATTTTTCAAAAAATATTTAATGTACAGATTCAGCTTAGTTACAATTTTATTATATGTATAGATTTAACATACATTGTAATAAACATACGTTGTTCTTATTTAATTTTTGAACTCCAATGCGAGATAAACGCAAAATATGTTGTTTAAGTCCATATTAAATGAGAAGTTTCTCTCATGACGGCTTAAAATGGCCAGCCTTTGTGTTAAGTACACAGCATTTATTATGCTTTTATTTTCCTCTCACATTACGTCGACACTATTCAAACGTAAAATATAAAATTCAATGCTATGGAAAAGAAAAAGTTTATTATCAATTAAGTCCATATTTTTTTTCATTTCAGCAACTTATTGAAGCTGTTGATATTTCAATGTTTTCATTCAACGGTTTCGTTAATTTAGTACGTTATTTTGCTGCAGATAAAAACGAACCAGACACGATTGTTGTGAGATAAACGCCACATACAGTGCTGTTACCAGTCAACTGATGCTACCCAGTCAACGATATCCGAAAGTTTCACTAATTGAAACGCCAATCAGAAAATTTTAGATTCATTTTCAAATATACATATTTTTGATCATTTTTTCCCCACTCATTTGCATACTCATATTACGAATGTTTTAGTCAAGCATAAAAGGTGTCGCTTTTTATTTTCAGTTATTATTATTACTCTCTCTTAACTCTCAATAATCATAATTCATATTTTTATATATTTCTCTTTAAAAATATATATTATACTTTCGTTTCTCTTCGGTGCCTGAGAGTAGTCTATGTATTTCTCTGTAGTTTATAGTTATAATATACTAGCGGCTCACCTTCGCTTCACTTGGGTTCGTTCCTACTCCTTAGGTACCTACGTTTTAACGGTTAGTATGGATTACATCCATATTAATATTAGAAATGTGAAAGTGTGTTTGTTTGTCCATCTTTAACGTTGAAAGGCAGTAACAGATTGGCGTGATTTTTTGTGTGGAGATAGTTGGAGGGCTGGAGAGTGACATGGGCTACTTTTTACCGCTGGAGATTACCTTATTCCCACGGGAAAGCACGTTATAATTCACCCCAAATTTTTTTTATTTTTTGTAAATTTACAGTACGTTTTAGCGATTCACATGAGATTATTAATATAGTCTTCGAATAAAATGATAAAATGGATGTGACATATGGACGGTCGAACAGACGGACGTGGTGACATTATATATTCCAGTTTTAGCCTTTTTTCTAAACCCTAAAAGAGTTTATGCGTATAACTTACATCAGAAAATAGAATATAGTACAGGTAAATATTTCTAAAAAATAACATATTTTATTATTACTTCCAATATAAATTAACATACAAACCTAGTTACTAATTACAGTAGTGAGCATAATTTTGTAACCACTGATCAGTCTCTACTAATTACCGAAACCGCTGAATGGTAATAAACTTCTCTGATAAAATATCTACATTCGTTAAAACTTTTAGTTCACTAATAAATTCGAGCCGAATGAAATATTTTTAGCCGATTTTACCATCGTTTTATGAATATGTGATATATTTCATACAATTTTTGTAAAGCCCATTATATTCTCTTCTATACTTACTATGAAATTATTATTATTATTGTAAATTTAATAAACATTTAACAAGAATAATGCTAAAATTGTTAAAGATAGATGGATCCCAAAATAATCAAATTTTCAGGGCCAACAAAATTATTCCCAACTTTTTTAGTTTAATTAATTCAGTAGAATAGCAATAATTGATTGTACATCATTTGTATAATGTAATAAATAGCACACGTCCTAACACCTTTTTTTTATGTTGGGAAATGCATTTGCGCATACCACCTGTAGACATACAGGTGGTTATGTGGGACTTACCAAAACCCAACAAAACCTTGCCCCGTCTTAATGGGACGTCGCAGGATCGGTTTAAAAATAAATAGAATAGTTTTTTTTTAATTAAAGCATATTCTTTGTGTTATTGGCAAAGATTATTTTTTACGGACAATTAATATCATGTCGATACATAAAGGCCGTTAGCTAGAAGTAAATAGAATATTAACAATACGGAATATTACTCCACATATAATTTAATCTAAGTTTAAGCGAACTTAGTAACTTAGTGGCTTCAGAAGATCAAGTTGCAATTCACATTAATATGTCTGTGGTCTTTACTATTCCTAAGTCATGACTCGTACGGGATCTTTGATTACACAGCCACATAACATGTTCCGGAATATTAAGAAAAGTTATAAATTAATAAGATTATTTGTATTATACAGGGTCATTTTTAATTTACTGAAAACCTTTTGGGAATATACTATTTACATCATAACAACAGATTGATAATAATAAAATATATTTTATATAATATTTTAAAAACTTTATTTCTGTGCATGCTGTGTATATTTGTAAGTAATCCCTACATGTAGTTTCTAGTTCATTTTTTTTTATATTTGTATGTATTATTGTAATTGTATATAAACCTAATAAATAAATAAAATAAAATAGGAATCACCTAAAAGTAAAACTATCTACAAGAAAATTTAGGATCAAAATATTTCCTTAAATTCTCCGCTGTATAAACTTTGTTACTTCGATCGTTGTAATTCAATGCTTCGCATATTCTACATAGATGATAGGATTTGGATCCGAAATAGCCATGTTCGTTGACGACTTCGAAGTCGTTTCTCCAACGATGATATGATAAAAGCTTATTATCATCTTTACTTATTTCTATTATATTCTTCGCTAACTCTTCAGGACTTTCAAAATTGTCTATATGAAGAAAAGAATTTGGCGGTAACAGTAATCTGCAGTTCTCCACAGTTGGGCCCAATATCACTGGTATAGCACCTTTACTGTACGCATTGTAGAAACATTTCTCGGTCAAATATTCTTCACATTCTGAGTTCTCAAAGACTAAGTAAAATAAATAGCCGGAAATGATGTTACAGTCCGATCTAAAATGGCCAGGACAGCTAAAAGAAGAATCATATTCAAAAAAAAAATTACTTATATACTAGCTTATTTTAGGGTAATATTATACATAAACATTACCGTGCTTATACTTAGCTTATTGATTATCATCTACGATTTTCGATCGGTTATATGTTTCAATTCGGTTCACAGTCTCTTAACATGACAAAAGTAAGCAAGTATAACGGGGATCTAAATTAAAATCTTCCGATTCAATGAATTTTTAACGTGGACGTAGATATACGGATTTTATAGATTTTCATACGTTATATATATATATATATATATATATATATATATATATATATACATATATATATACAGGGTGTCCCAGAACTCAACGTCAAGCCGAAACGGGGCGACAGGATTGATTGTAACCATCATGAAAAAAATCAGAAAAAAAATCTATCCCATGCAGTTTGAAAATTATGGGCATTTAAGAAAAACCTAAAAATTTGGTCACACTGTAATCATTTTTCGGTTATTGTGGTTAATTTTTATTATTTTTGTTTATTTGAACTTTGGAACCGTAACCCTAAATAACATTTCTAGAATCACAGTCAAAAATAATGACACAATTGCCCCAAGTTTCCTGGAGTTAAGACTATTTGTTAAACTATGAATTTAAAATTTTCAAAATTTGTCAACTTTGAAAGGTCCTCCTTTAAAAAAAATGTATTAGAGCGCCTTGGCAAGTGCCGTTAAAAGTTAGCGCATTTAATCAGGATTGTAAAATGGTACAATACTTGTTAGTTTCATACTAAAAAAAACGAGTAAAAAAATAAAAACCCAAACTCCAAACTCAAGTAACCCAATTTTTGCTATCCCATTTTACTCAGTTAAAATGTTTTTTATTCGCACAAGCTCTTGGTAGGTTCTTAATTTTACGGCAAAATGATGAGAGAGATGGGTAGTGGACATGTTTGCCATAAGCGAGCGAGACAGATAGTGACACCACGCAGTGAGACGAAGATGCGTCGTTAACCGAGTGCGAATTAAACAGATACAGACGCCATACCAAGCTCTTTCTTCTACTGCGCACCTTTCGGTATTCGCGTGTGTTAATTTAGTACTGACAACTTTGGCTTCTCTTTTTGGAATTGTACTTTTGTCTTGGCATCCTTGTTATCTACCATGCCTACGCGCTACACTTCACAAGAATATGCGAACATGCACCTCATTTATGTGGAATGCAGATGCAACGCAAGTGCTGCCGCTAGACTTTATCGTGAAAGATATCCAAATTTGGACCGCTATCCGGATCACCGCGTATTTGTTAATGTGCACCGTTCAATCAACCTTATTAGAGGACGTACCACTAGCAGATCGTCGTCACATGTGGTATCAACAAGATGGCTGCCCAGCGCATTACGCAGTGCAAGTAAGACATTGCCTTGGCCATTAATATCCGGGAAGGTGGATTGGTCGTTCAGGCACTATCTCGTGGCCAGCCTGTTCCCCAGATTTAAATCCCCTGGACTTTTTTTATTGGGGCATTCTCAAAGAAACAGTTTATTCAAAGCCCATTGAGAGCGTAGCCGACCTGCGTGAACGAATTTCTCAAGCTGCTGAGGACATCAACTCTCGAGGATATGCCAGGCTAATAAGTAGATCGTTTTTAAGATGTAAGGCGTGTATTGAAGCTGATGGTAAACAATTTGAACATTTGTTGTAATAGAAAATGTTATTTCCCTATCTGACTTTTATTATTTCAATAAACCTAAACTAAACTAGGTCAAGATTTTTCATTATTTTATTAATTTTACTTACTTTTGTTGACTTTGGTAAAAGTGGCGTCACTATCTGTCTCGCTCGCTCATGGCAAACATGTCTACTACCCATCTCTCTCATCATTTTGCCGTAATATTAAGAACCTACCAAGAGCTTGTGCGAATAAAAAACATTTTAACTGAGTAAAATGAGTTAGCAAAAATCGGGTTACTTGAGGTTTTTATTTTTTTACTCGTTTTTTTTAGTATGAAACTAACAAGTATTGTACCATTTTACAATCCTGATTAAATGCGCTAACTTTTAATGGCACTTGCCAAGGCGCTCTAATACATTTTTTTTAAAGGAGGACCTTTCAAAGTTGACAAATTTTGAAAATATTAAATTCATAGTTTAACAAATAGTCTTAATTCCAGGAAACTTGGGGCAATTGTGTCATTATTTTTGACTGTGATTCTAGAAATGTTATTTAGGGTTACGGTTCCAAAGTTTAAATGAACAAAAATAATAAAAATTAACCACAATAACCGAAAAATGATTACAGTGTGACCAAATTTTTTGGTTTTTCTTAAATGCCCATAATTTTCAAACTGCATGGGATAGATTTTTTTTCTGATTTTTTTCATGATGGTTACAATCAATCCTGTCGCCCCGTTTCGGCTTGACGTTGAGTTCTGGGACACCCTGTATATATATATATATATAATTGATACGACGAGAAAAAGATAGAAGAAGGTTCAATTTGATCGCAATATATGTGATTAGATAATTAAAGTATTAAAAGCTTGTTAAAAAATCGGTCCAGCTGTTCTCAAATGAGACACGGCTAAATGTTAAACAGATTTGCTTTGGTGTCATAATCAGGTGCACTATTATATTCAAACGTTGAAAAATGCATAGTTGTTGTAGATTTATTATTTAGTTTTTTTTTTGTATGGTATTCAGTGACAAACGAGCAGACAGCCCACCTGATGGAAAGCGGTACCTGTCGCCCATAACACCTACGGTTTAAGCACTTAGGTTTTATATTACAAAAATATAGAACCACAGGTGCGTTGTCACTGTGAGAACTAAGATGATATGCCTCTTGCCCGTAATTGCACTGGCTATCTTACCCTTCAAACCGGAACACAACAATGTAATCATTGTTGCTTGGCGGGAGAAATAGATAAGGGGGTGGTACACATCCAGTCGGACTCCTCACGCTTGACAGAGTCCTACTACCGGTTAAAAAGAGTAGTAGTAGTTGCTAAGTATAAGTTATACTTAGCAAATTATTATTTAATCACAAGTAAAAATATATTAAATCATTTTGTAACCTTTCTTTGTAGTTTTTTGAACACTTTCCAAAAACGTCTACAGTGATATGTTTCTGAAGCTGCTCTAGGTAATTCATTCTGCGAGATACTCCACAATCAGATATAAGAATAGTTAATAAAATATCTCGTCTTTTGTTTTTCCAATTCGGAACTAGCGAAATCATATTTTCATATGTCATTGCTTCCACAATCGGTTTTTGCAAGGGTACGGTTCGGCCATAGGGAACAGGCACGTCGGAGTCGCTTCTGAAATATCCATAAATCAGTTCGCAAGGCTACGGATATTGCTTATTTCTTACGTTATATTTATTCACACAAAAGTTATTGGCTTATTAATAAGACATGGAAAAAACTGAAGAAAATATAAAATGTAGTACTATACTATATCTACTCAAATTCCTAATTTAAAAATTGTAAGAGTCTCAGAAAAATAACTAACAATTAATTCGAACATATTATGTAAACTAGCATTGCCCGCGGCTCTGCCCGCGTTCAGATGGCAATAAACCAAATTCTTAGGTTTTACATATTAGTATACTGTCACCATGCAGTTTTTGTACTTTTCTCAGAAATAAGACATTTCCCCGCGGTAAAAAGTATCCGGTATGATGACCCGGATTACCAGCTATCATCATACTAAATTTCATCAAAATCCCTCCAGTGGTTTTTCCGCGATGCGGTAACAGACAGACACACAGACAAAAATTTTAAAATCTATAGATTCGGACTCTGTATCGACAATAATGTCTATTTCAATTAGATTTTTCAAAAAATATTTAATGTACAGATTCGACTTAGTTACAATTTTATTATATGTATAGATAAACAAATCAAGAAATTCTTAAACTAAATCTTTACTAACAGACAATCAGGAATTATCTTGATTGTTATTTAAAATGAGTCAATATTTTAATTAAGTTATAATAATGTCACTGGCAATTAAGCGTTCAACTGCTGTAAACATCTTATCAATATTATGATAATTTAAAATCAGAACTAAACCAATTAATTACTACGAGTATAAAAATATATTTTTAAGCGACAAACGCATTTCGTTCCATAGAAAATACTTCCATGAGTGTATTAAAGTAAAATTAAATCAACTTTCCTTACAAAAGGGACTGAATTTACGGACTTGATTAGTATCTAAAGCTATCTCTGTAAACAAGCTTGTATTGCAAGATCTGACATGGCGATATGCAGCGCGGCGCCGAAAGTCTGTACAAGGTGATATAAATACTACCTTATCTTTAAAGACTTTTTCAGGCGTGTTTTTCGTTCGTTTATCACTCTGGTTTATCAGCTACACCGGAAACACATTTTAAACGAGATAATTTAAAACATTTATTCACAGCGATTAACTTTTAAAACCTTTTAGTGGGTAGTTTTATGTTCTTCGTTAAAATTAGTAGGTATATGTACCAGCTGTCGCCCACAACTCCGCCGTGTTACGATGATAAAAATAATCTAGAAATCATAACTAAATCTACTTATATATAACCTCTTTTCTTTCCTTAGATAGAAAGTAGCCTATGTCTTTTACTTTAATTCTCAATTAGCCAATGGTCATACAAAACCAGCTAAGCCGTTACACACAGAATAAAATCATGGCCCTTTTGGCTTATCATGCAAATAAACATAAGATAGTATTGTGACCTTAATATGGCTCATTTATTTTGAAATAATATACAGAACATTAAAATTTATTTATAAGTAGCGCTTTCTCGCGGCTCCGCATGAGTTTCTACTTTTGAGGGTCGTAGCGTGAAGTTTGATTCAAAATTACGAGAATCACATTTAAATCAATATAATAATAATTAATTAATAATCAAAAAGCCATGTTCTTATTATTTACTTACCTATATGTCATGGACCAATTAAAAATATTAGCTAAATCTGATATTTTAGGTTGAAGCCGTGACATGGAAAATGCATTTAAAGGAGATTCATCATTCAAAAATACCCATCTTTGCCTCTCGCTTCGGTCTGTAGTGTTTGGAAATATACCATGTTGGACATGGATGATTACAGCATCAGCAGTGGATAGCTTGCTATCGTCTCCTGTGAATACGCAGTTGTTGACACTGCACCCGCTGAGTGGGTTATTTCTTCTAAAAAAATAAATTAAATCATCAATGACGAACCCATAACAAATATATTTATTAATATAAAAATTTCTTTTTAAATAAAACTATCTTTTCGGATTTTGTCGCGGATTTATTTGGATTTTTGTTTCCCGACGTTTCGAATGCTTTACAGCATCCATGGTCACGGAGAGACTGAGGTGTTACATGTCTTGAATGTATAGTTGTTACAGACAGCCTACCCACAATTAACAATGATTTTTATAATTTTAATTATAATTGAATATGGAAAATTATTTATTTAATTTTGCTATTATTTTTATAATTATTACAATTTTAAAATATTAATTAGTAATCTATATTTAGTGTTGCCATTATTATATTTATAACCATAAAGAAAAATATAAAATGTAGTATTAATTATTAAAGCCATATAATTGTTCTATGTGTAATTTTTAAAATTAATTAAGGATAATAATTTTAATTTAGTTTGCTATTATTTAAAAACAACTTACTAAGCAACACTATTAATATATACTTTTACAATATTAATATTAATAGTGTTGCTTAGTAAGTTGTTTTTAAATAATAGCAAACTAAATTAAAATTATTATCCTTAATTAATTTTAACTTTTTAAATTACACATAGAACAATTATATGGCTTTAATAATTAATACTACATTTTATATTTTTCTTTATGGTTATAAATATAATAATGGCAACACTAAATATAGATTACTAATTAATATTTTAAAATTGTAATAATTATAAAAATAATAGCAAAATTAAATAAATAATTTTCCATTTTTCATTTCGTTATTTGTGGGTAGGCTGTCTGTAACAACTATACATTCAAGACATGTAACACCTCAGTCTCTCCCGTGACCATGGATGTCGAAACGTCGGAGATCCGCGACAAAATCCGAAAAGATAGTTTTATTTAAAATGTCAAAAATTTCTGTTCTCTTTTAATGCATCAATAGAATGTTTTTTTTTAATTCTTTAATATTGTTTAAAAATTACCACTCTTTAAGAAGAACTGTTACGACGTAAGATAAGAATAATTAAAAAGTGTTTTGCGGAAATTATAAGTTTTTACTTAAAGGTTTATTATTTGTATTAAAAATAATATTAAAGCTTAATAATTAAAAAAAAATATATCTATCTACATTTAGACGACACGTTTGGCTCAGTTTTAGTGACCTTACTTGGTGTGCCAGCGGTCGCGGGTTCGAGACCCGCTGGGGGCATACATTTGTGCGATGAGCACGAAAGTATGTACTCCAGTCATGGGTGTTTATATTTATAATATGTATGTATTTAAAGTTATATATGTGTAGTGTATCAACTATCTGGTAACCATAACACAAGCCTCGTAGCTTACCATGGAACTAGATGATGCTGTGTGTTAATGTCCCAACATATTTATTATTATTTATTTGCATAGAACCAAAACCAACCAGAACTAAATTTAAAATTACTAAGTTAATGTAAATATTGAGAAATCACTATTCGAATCGTGATTCGAATTAAATAAAAAATAATTAAATGTTAATAAAAATCTTAAGTGCCAAAGCAACGATGTTTAATAATTCTATTATGTTATCGACTACAACACAAAAATGGTAGATAACTGCTCACCAGAAAAGTAGATACCAAGATTTTAGGCTTTATTACAAGTACAATATAGCATATTTTATATCTGCACAGACTGAATTTGATTGATATATTTTTTTATTCTTTAGTTAAGAAATTAAAATTATTGCCCTTGAATTATAAATATACCTACGCACGAAATATTATTTCCAAAATATTTTTTTAAACAATATATTCTATTGCATCGCGCTTTTTAAATTAAAAAAAAATTAAATGTGGCACTCGGAGACTGCCGCGGTAAAGCTATTGCATAGCATTTTTTATCATCTTATGCAATTATAATTATTTATTTATTTTATTAATGCAGTATTTTTTTCCTTGACTTTCTTCATTAATAAATGCACTTTGTTTATTCATATTTAAAACACTTTGTACACAAATTATACGAGTACAGATATTCACTGTTGTACATAGATAATAAATACCTATACACCTATATACTTTCTCACAAACAGCTGATTATGGTAGTTTTCCAATACAACCAATGCCACCTAAAGGCGGGTTGCTGAACTAAAGAGACAAGCGTGATATTTCAAAAAGTCATTAAAAGTTCTGGTATTTATCGATAGATGGAAAAACTAAAAAGTATCACCGCTGTGCCGGTCGGAGTGGGGGGTGTCAGGTATTTTTCGTTCCGGAATTTCTGGATTCGGTCGCCACGCTCAAGGCCCGCGATAGAAGCTATGCAATAGCTTAAAAACAAGTTTAACGAGTATCTTTTCATATTATATAGATACATAAAATAGATCCCAAGAATTAAAAATTTATTGATCATGTACAAGTAAATGTATGCTCATAAATCATTCTATATGAAATAAATATAAAAGTACATTATTGAACAACTACCACGTACTCGTATGTCCAATCATTTAGCTACTTACCGTTTGTTATCAAAGTTACGGACGTGTCGATTTTTCAGCCATTTCCAGTATTTCCATATAAGAATTACGAATTTCTTATTCTCATCGGTATCAATACGACTGTTGATTGCTTTCATGGTATCACGTGGTATGTTTTTAAATAAAAGCGATCCCAAGGTCGATGTAAGCCAATGCTGAAAAGCAAGTTAATTCAATATTATGATTCACAGACTTCCTTTAAAGAATAAAAAAACTAAATGGTACTGTCTGCAGCAAGCAAGCAAATTAAATTTAACATAATTTTTAATGCCCAATTTTTGATATTTGTGATACTTAGCATCCTTGGGATATGAAGAGTTCGCACAAGATATTAAAGAAGTGTGTTCTTTAAAAATATATTTAACAGTAGCCTACTAATTTGCCATCATTGGAGGAATAGGCCTACCCAAGTGACAGATAATTTTAAAATTGAAAATGTTTTTTTTGTCACTTCGGTATACAATTTCAGCGAAAGTGCGACATCGCCCTGGTACTTGTATCGCGGGTTTTGGGACAACTCGGCTGATTGGGATGTCAAGACACGTCTCGACAAGGGCAAAATGCAAAAACAATTTTTGAAAAAAACTCATAAACTTTTTTCTTTTTCTCGAAGACGAAACGAGTTTTAGAAAAAATAAAAAATCCTCTAGAGACTGTAATCTACATTTAAAAAAATATTGGAGGTGTGTATCACTGATGGGTTATTCAGAAGTTTTACCTTTATGACGAAGAGTGTACGCACGTGAGCACGGCAGTGACGGGGAATAAATGTTTTGAAGCATGTTATGTTTTAGGACGAAGTGATTTTTTTGTGAATAAATAAAAATGATTTTAAACTAATAAAGTTATTCAAATATTTTAAAATTTTGACTATTTAATTTAAACAGACAAGTTGTGTTAAACATGTGGCGTTTATTGCTCTATATTATTATGTTTCTACAACGCGTACAACGATTGTGTCTTAGCTCGTAAAAAATTGCAATAGTTTTAAAGTTAGATTAATAATTTTACTATACTTATTACTTATACGTACTTTATAATCTTTTGATAAATAAATGTAATTAAAAAGTAAAAAAAAATAATTCAGTTCATTTGGCAGATTCATTTTCAATGTACCCGAAGGTCGTGGCAGACACGAGATCTGTGGATTTTATACTGACCGATTTTAGCCAAGGCAACCAATCTCACTCTTGATGATCTATTAGCACTGGAAATATGCATAAGTTTATTAAGTAGTATGTATATGTACAGTGCGTAAAGACAATTAGTACATTGTCTATTCCTGTCACTCTTATACTCCAGTGGCACGACAATTGAGGAGAGATCAGCTGTAAGACGGATAGCTTCACGCGCTCTTCGAGGCACAGGGATAAAAACTCGCCAATTTTTTAACTTTGAGATGTTACTGAGCATTTTTTGACAGAAAACCTCAATAATTAAACTTATTGTTAGCTCGACTCAGGACTCAAACCCAGGATCTTACTAATACCAGTAGGTACATACTACCGAGACAGTAATCAGATAATAAGAGTCTACAAAGTATTAGAATAAGAGTCTAAGGAAAATGAGTGAGTTGATAGATGTAAATAATAAGTTTAAGAGAGATCTTTACTCAACTAAAAATAATATATTACACTATTATACTGCCAGTAATTTTTCAACACGTCATTATTTGTAACAAATCGATTTTTACATGTAACGGACCGTAGTGTAAAATATACAGCGTTAGACTTATGAAATAATGTTACTTAGAATATTTAGAATGTATTTTAGTAAACAAAATATATTTTAAACACTCATTAGATATTCGAATTGTAGAGTTGGACGAGTGATACCAAATTACAGTTATATTTATATTTTATTTAGGCGAACATCTTATTTTGTATGATTAAATTTAAATAAACAATGGAGTAAGTACTGACCTTCCTTTTTTCATAATAAGATGTAATAATTCCGTTGTGATAGCTCTCCACACTATTTTTATTAGCAACATCCACAATACGATCGTTTGTAACACTTGTGCTTATAGCTCTTATATTAGTTTCCGGTTTATAAATAAGTAACAATATTAAACATACTATCATCAATATGAAGTATATGTTAAATGAAAGAATTTTCTTAAAAAATGTACGCAAATACATTGTAATCTTTCTTGTTTATCATCACAGCGAAGAATATTTAAGTTTTTTCATATACAATATACACCTTCACAAATTATTGTAGATTACTAATATTTATCGCTGATTTCCTCTAATTGCTTTGGCTATTCGGAACACGTTTATTTCTTTTCGAATCACTACAATGAATGTTTATCATAAGACCGCATATGTTGTGCCACATTTCTGTAATATTATCAACATAATAACCCTTATAGGTAAATCTCGAAATGAGCGCAAGTAGAGTTTTTGAATTATAAAAATTTAAGACACAAGTTTATTTAACATATTATATACGAGTATAAACACTAAGACCGAGCGCGTACGTAAGAATAATCAAATAATTAAATTGAAAGTTTTGTTACTTTAACAAACCAGATAACGAAAACACATTAATAATACGATTAAATGATAATAACCAAACCACTCTTTGTTCGAACAACACTCGGCGCAGAAGAATGGACAATATGACCAAGCGACTTGCTGTATAAAACTATAATTAAAACGTATATAGGTAACTATAACGTACATATTGTTTCCAAAAATTGAATTTTGCATTACAATTATTGTGGAAAATAAAAATGAAATCACCATTCGTTCATTACAAGGACGATGTATCTTTATCTGATTTTGTAAAACATTTATATTTTTTGATTAGATATCCTCAGTAAGTATTACGAGCAACTTGCCAACTACAAACTACAAATATCTTTTCATTTTTCATTATCTCCTAAACTATATTACTTAATTACCTACTATAAAGGGACACGTTTTATCTCTGTAAGTACTTGTGATGGTGAGATACTCGTAGTTTATTTTGATAATAATATTATTATTATCAAAATAAACTTATTATTATTATTATTATGTACTTCAAATAATCATCTCTTTACTGTAATCAGAAAAAAATAAACATAAAAATTTTAAATATTTTAAAATATAATAGTTAGATATACCTATTATGGTATTTCGACCATTTTTGTAGAACTATTATAGATTTACATATTTGCCATACATTATTTTCACTTTTAAACAACTGTTTAAACAGTATACGCAAAGAACGCTGTATTTGTTCCTACTTGCTAGAAAAACACCGTGAGTCGTGACAGCTTGGCTGAAATGCACAATGTAAATATAACTATATTATATAACTAGCGACTCACCCTCGCTCCACTCGGATTCGTCCCTACTTACGTGTTCACGTTTAGTATAGATTTCTCCGAGATAAGACATTTTACCACAGTAAAAAGTATGCCATATGTTGACGCGGATAACTAGCTATCATCATACCAAATTTCATCAAAATCTGTGTAGTGCGTTTCTCGTGATGCGGTCACAGACAGACAGACCAAAATTCTAAAAGCTATGGATTCGGATTTCGGACTCTGTATCAATAATAATGACTATTAAATAAAATTTTACAAAAAATAATGTACAGATTCATTTCATTTAGAATTTTATTATAATATGTATAGATAGTGTTAATAGCCTTATATAGCACTCTTCGAATGAAGCTATCTAATGATTAAAGACTTATTAAAATCGTTTCAGTTGCGTCACAGTTTAACGACTAAAGCAAAGAAATTCTTCTTCATAATATTATAGTATACATACATAGAGATATAGATGAAAAAAATAATTTAAAAAATAAAAAAAATACACCCCGATTGCGTAAAAAGCGAACCAATAAGATGAGAACAAGTTGACAAATTGGCTAAGGAACATATAAATAATGTTCTCCTGGCCGATTCCGGCCACGGCGGCCAATCTCATTGAGACTAGCCAACTGCGCAGGAGATATTATAGTGCACAAGTGTACGCGCAGGCACAAGTGCACTCTCTATTCCTGTCACTCTCATACTCCGGTGGGACGACTGCTCGACACGACCAGTGAGAGTTAAGGCGCAGGACCGACGGCTTTACGTGCTCTCCGAGGCACGGGGGTGAAACACCGCCAACTTCCCAACTCCGGGCTGTTACTGAGACTTACTATATAGAAAGACTCAATAACTAAACTCGGCCCGACCCGGGACTCGAACCCAGGACCTCCGAGTGTGCAGCCGTACATGCTAGCCACTACACCACCGAGGCAGTTGAACATATAAAACTATGCATTCGGAGACATAGATAGTATGTACATGACGTTTTACACTAGCTGCGAATGCTACTTGTATGTACAATATGTCTCCGACACATAATACTAAGTATTAATTATTATCCTTCGTCAGATTGTTCTGAGTTCTCATCTTTTTAGTACGCTTTTGACGCAGTTGGGTTTCTTAAATTAATTTTTCATTTGCACCTTTTAAGCTTTGTTCTGTTATACATTTTGAGTTTTATTTATTTTTCCAATTTATTTTTTATCCTAAATTATATTTAAACATATAAATTATAAGCTGTGTACATTTTTGTACTTGTTTCTTTAAAACCTTTTTAATAACCCACTCGATTAATTTAGACGATTTTTTTTTCAAAACATAAAGTAGCACCTAAAATTCACCATTTTGATTTTTAATTATATCTACATACCCTATGACATTTGCGTTATCAAGTCGAGTTTAAAGACGTATGAATTATCAATATTGGTTACTCCGTTTAGTAATTATGAGGGAACGTAAGGTCGAATATACATGCATACATACATATACATACAGGTCAAACCTATAACCTCCCTTTGAGCTTCGCCACAGTCGGGTAACAAAATTTTATAGTAGCTATTTATAGTAGCTTGCTTCCCAATACAAACTTTCATCCCCATTTTCACCCCTAAAAAGTATCCTATGTCCTTCCCAGGTCTCAAACTATCTTCTTACCAAATTTCATCTAAATCGGTTCAGTAGATCCAGAGATTATCCCCTACAACGTCACTAACTCCCAACCTAACTCACAAACTTTACCTCTTTAATCTTTATAATATTAGTATAGAATACGTTAGTGTTCTG